TGAACCTAGTAGGCCCAGAGACAATAGTATTTATTTTTCTGTATTTTAAGGCTGAAGCCAGCTTCTCTGATCTTACTACTTACTCTCATAGACAACTGCCCCTACCCCACTGCTTTCCCACCCCCAAATGTGAGCTCCCAACCTCTTTTAAACACTCCAGTCACCATGTAGCATCAAAATGCTCTCAAAAGCATAGCTGGTTTCATATTGGATCTGCTTAAAACAGAAGCCTCCAGACAACTGGTTTAAATTCCAAATCAGTACCATAGGCCTAGGGTTAACTGGAATTTTTCATTTAAATTTAATTATTAGCATCACTATTTTGAATAAAAAGTATTTACTTTACAAAAGCATACCCAGAGTCTTTCTTGAAATCAGTTTCTCCTTAACTGAGGCATCAGGACATTCAGGCATGTAGTATCTCTTACCATCATTTTGAGGATGTGATACAAATAATTTGTTACCGATGATTGTTAACAAGTACAGAAGTTAGTAAGTAACTCACTTAAAAACAACAACATATTAGTGCCATTTTAACATCACTGCTGTAACAGCATCTCTCTTATCTGAATTCCAATATGATTTCTTAAATGTGAGAGGAAGGGAGGGGAGCTAGCTCATCTTGAAATGGTATGTCCCTGATATATGCCTATTACTGATATTCCATTAAGAGCTGGAGTGATTTTAGTATATTCCTGAGCAAGGGAGGGAGGGAGGGACAGAGGGAGGGAGGGAGGAAGGGAGGGATTGTCAGAACCTGGGAAAGCCTGAGCACGTCATCTACCATGGAGATGATAACAGAAAACTGACAGAAAACTGAGCCTCATGGGCTCTTCTATTACAAGCTTCCATTTAGGGAAAACTATGTATTTTCCCATTACTTTTTAAGATTCCAACAACTGCACAAAGCAACATGAACCTACATGGCACCACGCTTAATGAAATTGTTTACAGTGTTGAGTATAAAAGGCTCTGAACAGATTCCAAAGAACTGCCAGTTCTCCGTGAACAGAGTTGCATTAAATCAGCTGCTCTACTCTAGTCAGAAAGCTGCCCGGAGCTGCTCTCTGAGTAGGGAATACAATACATGTCGCAGTCACACACTTTTCAAAGGCTGGGCTTGGTTTCTAACAGCTTGTGTTGAGGTCCCCAAAGTGAAAGTCACCGACCACGGTGGGCCGAAGGTGAACGTGTAACAAACCTTTCACAACTCACACCCAAAGCTTGGAACCTGAGAAGTGTGAAGCGGAGGAAAGCTTCCTGTCATCTCTAACTTCTGGCCCAGCATTCTTCGCATTCACTTTTTTAAAAAGTCCATTCTGATAAGAGACCAGAGTTGAAGGAGACCGTCCCTGCTTATGGCACTTCCAAGGTGAAAATGAAAAGCCCCGATAAAGCTCACGGCCCGGAGGAAAACTCCGAGTGGCTTACTGCCTTCGTTTTCGCTCAGGCGGCCTCTCGCTACCAGGCCCGACTGCAGGGCAGGCTCTGCCTCTGCTCCGCAGCTACGTCCTGCTCGCGCTGGACACCATCGCTGGCGACGCGAGTGTTTCAACACTCGCTTATCTGTGTAGCCTTGATTTTATAAACTCGAGATCTGCAAAGCACATTCCACGGAAGAAGTCTGCACCTCAACTGACGGGATGTGTGGGTGTGCATGCATTAGACAAAGAGAAAAGTTACTCTCTGCATGCGATGAGCCAAATTATCCCAATTCCTTTGTAAAGAGGTTTTTCTTTCCCTTTCTCTTTTCTCTTTCTGCAGCATAAATAATATTTAGCTGAGATTTCAGGTTCTTGATTTTCAGTAGGCCCGGCAGGTGTGGCAGAGGGCCGCATGCCCAGGGCCAGGGCATCCCTTACGAGATCTCTGCCCGGCCTAATAAGCCTTGTCTTACAGCTGAAAGCGCCTTGTCACTGGCCCCGATTTCAGAGTCAGGCCTTGTAAAGCCGGCAATGTTAAGACCAAAATAATGTCATTTAGTATCTGGGGGGGGGAGAGGGGTTAAAAAAAGGATTAGAGGCAGGCCGGCCGGGTATATTAAATGAGTCCATGACTAACAGGGTGTGACAGAAAAGGGTTTTATTCTTTTCAACAAAACAATTCCCTAGGGCTGGGACCATTACTCCACGGTGCCTTTATCACCTTGGAATTTTTATGGTTATTTTTGATGAATTCACATTTTTCTAAAGGCTTTTTTGAAATGATGCCAGTTTTCAATTTTTAATTAAAGTCGTAAATAATCTTAATTCTGCCTTAAAAGGTTTATTGTTTCTTACTTTTTTTTTTTTTATTATTGCTGCCAGGAAATATTTCAAATACCAAGGCTTGATGTGAGTTAGCAATTACAATCTCTCCAAGGTCTAGTAACAACATTGTATCATGTAAATATTACACCGGTAGAGCAGCACAAGGTTCGAAAACGCGACTGACTGATTCCAGGTTTATTAGCACTGCTTCTCCTGAGAGCGACATTTCCTCTTTTTATTGGATGGAGCAACTTTCGTCATTTTAATATCCATAAATTAATCCATCACAGATCTATAAATAATTTTTTAAATCTTCAGATTAAAAAAACAGGTTAAAATTCAGAAAATAAACACAGTAAATTTGTCACTAAGGACCAGGCAGTGAAAGTCAGCCAAATCCAATTCAACCATCTGCAGAAAACAGAGTGAGCACCAAAAGCTAAATTATTGGACAGACGAAAACTTACTTTACTTAGGATAAAATTAAGACAATACTGAAAAACTTGACATTCGATTATAATACTGCTCCTTATTTACTAGATTGCTTATTGAAGGTTGTCTGCAGATTGTCTATAAATTTATATTTTGTAATCTCTAAGTCTCATTTTCTTTTTTAAATTAGTGCCCTGAGACTCTTTCACATAATCAAACTACTCTTCCTTTATACAGAGGCTGAAATGTACCATGTTTGAATAGAAACCATTAACAATTCCTGAAAATATACATTATGTTTTCATATCTACTGTCAATATCCTATTGTAGCTTATTTGTCTAGATAAGGGACTTACATTCTGTCACGTCCATGACAACTGTTACTATCTATCCAGGTGCTCTCCAATCTACAGATAGATTTGTCATTAGAGTAAAACCAAATTATGGCCTGGAAAATGGTCATATTTTGAGGGAAAAAACACTCAGCAAGAGTTTTTGTGTGTGTGTGTTTTTTACAAACACAGCTTAAGACTTTAAGTTTCTAAGATATACACAGACAATGACAAAAACCATTAGGCAGTAGTTCTGCTGAACATTAAAGGTAGGCAACAATGGCGTGTTATTGTAAGACTATTAAACATCTCCTTACAACTTTATTTAAATTATAATTCATTTGGCAGTTCCTTTGCTCTTTTAAAATAAAAGAACACATCCAATTCATGTCAAGTGATCGTCTATTATTGTTGATAATATTATCTGTTGATAACAATCTTCTGTTACCAATTTACTGGGATTCTGATTAAAAAGACTTAACTATATTTATAGAGAAAAAATGAATGATTTTTAACAATTGACTTACAAGAGTGGGCTTGTATACAATGAAGAATACCTATCACATCCTTCTAATGATATTTTTCTAACTCACAGTGAAGAGGTGAAATCATTTCCGTATATAAGCCCTCAACTGGCTTTGCGGCTAACATCTCTCAAGGAAGAAAAAGCTCAAATAATGAGAAGACTACAGAGCATTTCCCAACAGAAAAGTGTTAAATCCCTATAAACCGTGAAAGAATACAAGGCTCTAGTTAGCTAGAAGTCATGGTGACTTGAAAACCATGGCCATAGGGTTCAATCACTTGAAGTAAGTTGAGTCTTAAACTTCCCTTAAATTTGTTATGAAGGGCCTTTAAATGAATCAGGTATTCATCTGGACACAAATGAAATACTCAAAAAGCCAAGGTCAAAGTCAACATATTTTCTGCCATGGTCAGAAGATACATGTTGGTCCAAAAGTTTATAAACTCGATTATTAGGAAATGCCTTGTGAGGGGTTAGCGCCCCATCCCTTGAGGTGTTGAAGCACAGCATGGCCATCCACTTGCTGGGGGTCTTGTAAGGTCAGGAGAACTAGTCAGGTGGGGTGGCTGGTTAATCTTTAACATTTCTTCCAAATGTGAGATACTATGATTTCTATAAGCTTTGAAAGATGTATTAATCTCTCATTGATGTCAAAGTATTTTAAGTTCAATTCCTTTATCAGATTTTCATACACAGTATTAAGAAACATCTTTTTTCTAAGCTTAACGGGAGGAATGCTTCTATTCTTACTCATCCTAGAAATTCCCTACCTCCTCCTTCAGAGCTAAGCTGATTTTAGTCGATTGACATTTTATGAAAAAGCACTTATCTCCAGAAAGGATGTCTGTTGTGCTATTTTTCCCCCAATTCAATTTTCTTGTTATTTGTACTTAATTTTCATAAAAGCCTTTTACTACTTTCCAGTTTAGGTGACTTACACTTAATTTTCTCTCATTCCTATTGTACAAGCCCTCTCCAGAAATTCATATCTGGCTCTCAGCTATGCAAACTTCGGCCTTGCTATTTCAGGAATCCCTCAGAGCATTGTAACAAAGCGAGTACCGCAATAAAGAGAGTCACAGGAATTGTTTTGGTTTCCCAATACCCATAGTAGCGTCTATTAAGTGTGCAGTAGCATTATGTCTAAAAAACAAGGTACATATCTTAATTAAAAAAATAATTTATTGCTAAAAAATGCTAAGCCATCATCTGAGCCTTCAGGGAGTCAATCTTTTTGCTGGTGGAGGGTTTTTTGAAAAACAATACCTGGGAAGAGCAATAAAGGAAGAGCAATAAAATGAAGCACACCTATGATTTCATGGAAGACTTCTCTGGGCAAAGAGTCTAACACATATCATTACCTTGAGAAGTGTTAAGAGTTTCCAGTGCCCTGCAGAAGCTCCCAGTACTGCAAGAACTTAACTGCTTTTTCTGGCTGGGTAACTTCTTTATAAAAATTACCTTTTTCCTCGCTTGTTGATCTTTGGAAGAATGTGCCTTCACGTGCTTTCTTAAGGAACTTGGGTCTGTGTAGCGTTTGGTGCATCCTGGAATCTGACAAGCATAAGGTTTCTAAATAGGAAAGAAAGAAAGAAACAGCTGTGGTTAAATCACAAAGGTAACTGAGAGAGGTTTACTCAAAGACTACTGGCTTCAGAGCATGAGCTGTTACCAACTGACTGATGTGAAATGATGGGTAATACTCGGGCATTTTAATCAGAAAGCCCAGTAAAGTTTGCATCAAGGTAAAAGAGAATAAACTTTCAAGAAACAAACAGATGGCCTATCTTTGATGATGTTTAAAAGATTACTATAGATTACTATAGCTCTTACCAGGAACCTCTCATGGCATTTTTTTTTAACATGGAAATTATTAGTAAGCATTTCCAGTCATACTTACAGTTATGTTCCCCTGAAAACAATCTTTGGGACTGTCAGAAACTAGGAAACACATATTCTTTAAGAGTTCAGGTATAAAGAAGCTGTAGAAAAGTCCAGAAAAGACTGGGAATGTTTCAGAAGAAACCTGATTCAGAAAGAGAGAGGGAGAGAATTAAAAGGGAAAATTAGTAGACAGTGAGTAGGAGACAGTAGGTTTCAAACAACAGACACATGAAAAGTCAGCCAGAGAGACATTAATGTGATTAGTTGTAGAGCAGTCCTGGTGCTAAGCCTGGGCCACGTAGGTAAGCCCTTGGCTGAGCGTGAGGAGAACACAAGTTTTGGCTGCTCCAAGTCCCCCCATGCCCCTGAGAGATGTGATGTGTGGGGCCTAAGGCTGGGTCTAGAATCTTTTTTACTTCTGTACTGTAAAGTTATTTCCCCTGTTCGGGTATTAAAATACTGATAGAAAAATGAATTAAAACTATTTAGGGTTAGAATTATGAACTCAGTGATCTTTATGGGAAAACCATTTTCTTGTAAGTAAAGAATCCATTTAGTTGAAGAAAGATATTTTATCCAAAATTGTGACGGCATTTAGCATAAGGATACTTACCGAAAAAGAGCAAACACCTAAATTTAAATAACAAATTCTTTAAGCAACTACAGTTTGCTCTTTAAAACAAATGTTTAATTTCGATATGATTTTAAGAGAGCTTACCAATTTGTTAAAACACAATAAAAATTTCAACAGTTTGGGTCTTAAGGTAAAAATGATGATTTTAAAAAGATTTAATAAAGAAGTGATTTTTAAAAATAAAAATAGCTGAGCTTTAAAAGCTACCGCATTGAACTGAATCATAAAATCATTATCTAAGGTAGTTTTCCTCAAAAGATTTAAAGAAGGATATATTTTTTTAAATTCCAAAATGATTTTAGAAAATGCTCTTAGTTTGATTAGCTAAAATTAGCTGCAAGCAAAGAAGGGTATTGTAGAACCCTACCACTTAGCCTCACAATAGTTCTTTCAAACTACAGATAACTAGCTAGGCTAGAAGCAATTTCTCAAGACAATCTTGTCTCATGAATGTTCATTCTTCCATGATAAAGTTTAATGATAAATTGAAAAATTTATTGGATTCTACCCAGACCATTTTAGACATACAAAATAGGGCATTTTTAACATAATTTATTCTTCATTCCTATTTCTACCTTTAAAAAATACTGCTATTCACCAAATTTATGCATTTAATATTCTATTCTGTTGGTCCTAAAGTCACGGAATTCAATTCAGCTGGAGCAGGAAGGGTNGCATTTTTAACATAATTTATTCTTCATTCCTTTAAAAAATACTGCTATTCACCAAATTTATGCATTTAATATTCTACTCTGTTGGTCCTAAAGTCACGGAATTCAATTCAGCTGGAGCAGGAAGGGTCGATCTTACACCTATATTACTCTAATTATATTTCACATATTCACTAGGCAAAACATCACACTTATGTATATCGGGAGATAATTCTGTTTAGAAAGGTTGCCTGACATATAGTTAAAATGACTTCTATCAATATGACTAATAGAGACTAATATAAAATTTAATAAATATGTCAACTGTAACATCAGAAGAATATTAAATATGTATGAGGAGGTGTGTAGAAATCACAGTATCTTTTCAAAATTCAAATTCTGGTGTAGTTTAATAATAGACATCAGAATGTTAACACTGGAAAAGTACTGTCATGAATACATTATTTGCAAGAATGTGGGATAAGAGATCTGTGATGTGTAGGATACACTTATCCTGATGGCTTTAAGTGAAGTGAAATTACGTACAGTCTACCTGACCTCCTATAAGGAAAATGGCATCAAAGCCTGAGAAATGCAAAGGAGGACTTTCAACATAATTGAGAAAATGAAAGGGAGGGTGGAGTCTGGAAAAGACATCTGCAAATGAACAAAATGTTACAGCTCTAAGGGAGTTAAGGTGCGGTAATGAAAATCAGTTGTCCGAATAGTGTTTATGTCAAGGAATATGTGGCTGCTAACACATAGAAAACCTGATGAATCGGACCCTGGGGAAAGAGTTGGGATTCTTTTTAGATTAAAGGTGAAAATACCAAAGCAAAGCAAAAGGCCAGATTCACTCTCAAAACCATGCCAGCCTCCAATTTTTATGCCAAGAAGAAAAGAACCAGAGTAAGAGGGAAAAAAAAAAAGTAGGTTTCCAGTTGTTCGTATGGAAAACAATACAATAATTAATAATTAATAATACAAGAATAAACTGTTTCTAGTACTCACAACTGTAAACCTACTTTTGCCACACCCTGTATAGTGTGTGTCTTAGTACATCTTGGTCTTTGAACCCTTATTTTAATGCCCAATCTGCAGTGGTCATTCCCTGCACTGAAATCTACTGCATGACAGCCCCTAAATTGCCTCTGCTTTGCACACAGAGGTTACCAAAGAACCCCTTTGTCCCAGGCAGCTGTAATATTTAGGATTCTCGTGACTGCAGAAAAATGAAGGAAGAGCCAAACAGGGCCCCTCTGGCCCTTTACCAGGTTCCGCTGCTGCCCTTGGCATTGCCCCTATAACCTGCAGACCATAAAGCAAACACCTTCACCACCCCACTATCGAAAGGGCACTTCCTCACACCGGGGCCTCGGGCTGGAAGTTGGAAAGCTCCTGCCATTCTTACAGTGTCCAGATGTGTCCTCTGGTGCTTGGCGCGGTCACTGGAGTTACTGAACGCCTTCTGACAGCCCGGATGCTGGCACAAGTAAGGCTTTTCGCCCGTGTGGCTCCGCAAGTGGATCTTGAGATTTTCAAGCCTTGAAAAGGCCTTCTTGCAACCTTCAAACTGCAGAGAGAAAACAATATCGGGTTGTTGAGAAGGGCCCTGATGCTTGAGTTTGAGGGACAGAAAAAAAAAAATGTTCTTAATTTGTACTTAGCCTAAAACAAAAAAATTAAATGAAATCCAAACAGTAACAAATATGACTTCTAAATATATCTCTATGCTTATGTGAAGCGCAGTTTTCCACTGAATATACATGCCACCTTCCGTACAAGATCTGGGTCCCAAGCCGATCCTGTGATTACTTATGTCAGAGAAAATTCACTGTGAGCCATCTGGCTCAGTTAATAAAAATACAGTAATGCGTGTCTTAAAGATTTATTAAAAAATTAACACACTTTTCCATTTCCAAATTGGTCTAAATTGAAGGAACCAGGAAGGAAGAAACTTTTTACAACTAATAAACTAACAAGAAAAACCAGAGTGATGTATGAGAAAAAAAGTGAACTGAAGATCCAAGAGTTCGAGATGAAAAAGGTATGTGTCACTGAATTATTATGATCATAGACTAGCTTAACTGTATTTTAAGGGGTTTTCCAACTCTCAAAAGATAGAACTTGTTTAAGGGTGATGCCAAACCTAACGAGACGACGCTTTTAAACATGCTTTCAGAAAGGTACCGAAAGACAATTCATTTAATGCTAAGTCATTTCCAAATAAAGTGATGGATTTATTTATTTAAAGAAATTTGGTTACCTAGATCAAGAAGAGAAGAACTGAAAATGAAAGATTGGCAATTTCAAGACATGCTTCACTGGTTTATCAAATATATATTGATGGTAATTTTTACATAATGCCTTCTGTGGGCAAAGTATCAACCACCATTAGCTGGTCAAAGTGATTCCAATCCTTGAAATGACAACCTAATAAAGAAAATGCATTAGAGCAAGCCTATAAATGAGGCATAGAGGTGAGGTGGGCATTTATTCTTTAACTCTCTCATTGGTGCCAACTCTCTCATTGGTGCTAAGCCCCAGAATATTTATGTCACTTTGACAGCTTTAATAGCACTGGAGTTTCCACTGAAAGAGAAACTTATGAATATGGAAAAAAACTAATCAGAACAAAGCATAATATGTTTAAAGCAATTAAGAAACCACACTTCTTAGAGAGGAATGTGTGTGAGGAGGGGTGTGGGTAGGGCAGAATCTAAGTAAAGAAGGTAAATAGAGGATGGTTTCCATTCAAAATGAGCAGGTATAACCTAACTTTACTTCAAGATTTTTCATAAAACTCCTTGGTTCTCTTGCTTAGATGATGGAGTACATTGTTCATGAAGGGATGACCCAGAGCTGGCCTAGTTATCTGACTTTTCATTTTTAAGTAAAGGCCGAACTAATGAGAAAGGACAGTCAGGCATGTCACAGCTCCATCTCTTTAAGTTGTCCAGATTTTGCATGCGGAAGTATTTTAAGAAATTTATGAAAGTTGAACTTATTTTTGATTGAGAGTTATACATGTTTCACAGACATATGCTGGTTTATTTCAATTTTGATATTTTGCTTAAAATAATTTTGGTGTTTTCCTGATTTCTGTTTCACATAAAAATAAATTTAGCCTGAACAGAAGAGGACTGCTGACGAAGCCAACTACTTTTCCGGCAGAGGGAAAGATGGAAGGCTACGTCGCTAGAGGGAAAGAGGGGTTAAGCGGCTTATTTCCACAGATTTTCGGGTGGGTCTCAGATTTGAAAATAAAGGGGCTCGAAATTAACCCCCAATTCATAGCTCAGAGGCCTCTATTGACCAAACCTCTGTTTTTAAGGTTCTCTCTGAATGACGACTTAGAGCAAACTCCTGGCGCTCAGGTTATTTTACTTGGAATCACTTGATGGACCACACTTAGGTCTAAAATGAGCCTGTGGTTTTGGACACATCAAGCCTGTTGCCTATTTCACAGCAAGGCTCTTTTGTAGGGTGGACACCATTCCAGGGCCAGTTCCAGGGGTACATACCCAGACCTGGGGAGGCCCCAGCATCCACTCCCTTCTGCAGTCCCTGGATCTTGGTAAGAGAAAAAGCTGCATTGTTTCGGCACCAACACAGGAGTGGAGAACCACTTGAGAATAGATTAATGAAGTTTCTGTGAGTACCGGACAAACAAGACCCCTGGATCCACCATGGAGTGATTAGAGGGATCTCAGGCACGTCCTAGAACTGATTCAGGCTGCCCGCTGGATCAGACACAAGCTGGATAAAGGCTAACGTTTCCAAGGTCTCTCTAGTTAAGTGTCCAAGTAAATGTCCAATTAAAAATCAACTAATTGCTATTATTTCTGTTAATAGAAGCAATGATCAAAGATGAAGAGGCTTGCTACCTTGCAAGCAAGTCAGTGAAAAGTGAACTACATCTCAGAATATCCTGACCATTTATTTAACAGCAAAGATGGAGGAAAATCTGAGCACACAGACTGAAATGACAACAAAAATATTATCTATAAAATCATGAAACTCCAGCTGATTTCAGATGTCTCTTCTGTTAACAAGAAAGGCCAGGAGACAAAAGTATGAATATTACTTGTATTAGCATCTTAGTATTTTCAGGGGAAATGATTAAGAGTGATGGGGTTGTATAAATAAAGGCAAAAGAAAGGTAATGTCATGGACTCGGGCTCAATAGGCACCACGTGCTCACTCTCACCGAAGAAATTCACTTGCAAAGACCGTGAGCCCACGACCAGTAAAATCGGGCTCAAGAACTGACAGGCAGCTGGGTGGGGAGACCTGACATCCAGCTTCTCAGGTGCACCCAGGGCAGTGCGCCTGACGGGACTTGCCACGCTAACAATTCGGCAAGGGGCAGGAGATGCTGTTCATCTCTCTAATGGTGTCTGGATGAAACTTGAAAGCAAACAATTCTGTAATGAATCATTATCATTCATTACGGAAATAACCCTGTAATTCAGCACAGGAATTTCCTCTCCTTCAGGCAAGTTTACCCTTAGAGTTGTAAGTTCAATTCAATGCAAATACATTAAAAATAAACTAACGTTTAGGTGGAACTACAAAAGATCGTTACAAAATGCCCAAACTGAATGCTTCGGGTGTTTGGGCAAATGGACACCCTTTTCGCTTGTTATTATTTTTTTCAAGTTTTCCAAATCTTTACTGAGTCTCTAAACCCAGGGAAGCAAGGACCACAGGAGGAGTGCTTCCTTGGTTCGGCCAAGTGTTTTCTTACTGAGATTCCTAAAGTGCAATGTCCATCCTGAGATTTAAGGTTCAAATTGTCACCTGGCTGCTCATGCCACTGCCACCAACCAACCAACCCTATACGAAAACTGACCAATATCCTACTCTTAGGTCTTCTCCCACCTGGACTGGCTGTGGAAGCAGGAGCCTAGGGCTCAGTGACACACAACTGGCCTGAGGTTGCCTGTAGTTCAAACACAAGCCCTTGATGAGAAGATTATAGAAAAAACAACAAACTCTCAGAATCCAGCAAGATAGCAGAAGGAGGGAAGGTGGGAGGGGAGTGATGGCGGGGAAGTGGTCCGGCATACATCAACAATTTCATCTAAATAGCATTCCCCTCCCTCTTCCCAGCCCCCTCATCAAATACCAAGTGGGCCCTATGAGTGTGGCACTATGTGTTCGGCACTGGGAGGAACAAAATGAGTAAAACTTAAGACTTCACGATGGGAAGACGGAAACAAATTCAATGGGTATGTCTGGGCAGGTCACATACTGATGAGCCTTGAGCAGCGATTCTCAAAGATGTGGTACCTGGGCCTTCATTATCAGTATGTCCTGGGAGCTTGTCAGAAATACAAATTCTCTAGCCCCGCCCCAGATTTACAGAACAAAACCCTGGGGCTGGGTCCCAACATCTGAGTGCTAACAAGCCCTCCAAAAGATTCTGACACGCCAGTGGGCCGCTGAGTGTAGGAACGCCAGTGAGCATCTCTCAGGATTTACCCACTTCTAACTGGGACAAGAGTCCCAGCAGCGGCCCTAGACCTAGACTGGCAAGAAGCATCTCCAGCCCGGGGGAAGGCAAGATCATCTCTTCCTGCACTGCGAATGGGACGAAATCTCAGAATGCCAGTCTCATACTAGGGATTCTTTAAGCTTCCCTCTTTAATCTGCTGCCAGGCAGATGTCTGGTTCTGAAACAGGTATGATTGCAGGTTCCCTCGGTGGCCTCCTGACCAACAGAACATCCCGCGTTTCCAGGGCCCGTCACAGTCCCCTGTTGAGACAAAGTGCTGGAGGGGAGCCATCGTTTTCCATTTGCACATTTCAGTGGCTTTGCAGACACACACAAGAACAAAACATGAAACTGGAAGTGACAGAACTTTAAATCTCACGGGTCTTGAAAAGACTGCACTGCAAGAAGCCTCACCCTGAGAAATCTCTCTTTAACTCTGTGGCTGTTTTCAAGCAACCAACTTTAATTAAAAAGTATAAGTTGCCTTAAACCCAGAGAACCCTGGCTGGCATCGCTTTGCTAATTTAGGAGATTATTTCATATTTAAAGGATCACAACTGAACTGTAATCACCATCTCTATATATTGGCTTGATTACAGATTGTTGACATTAGGTGGCATTAAGATGACCTTTGAAATATTACTTTCCCTTTCTATTAGAGGCTTTTGTGTAAGGTTCTGAAAATAAAGGCTCATTAGACACCATTAAAATAGGATTTATTCCATATGTGTAACCAATAATCAAGGAGACTGTTACTCCCTCCCCTAATCAGCTACTCAGAGAGCCGAGAAGCACAAGTTCATATTAGAAGAAGTAATAACAGCAAACCTTTCCTGATGGGGTTTCTATACTATCACTAAAGTCAACAAAACCCAAACAGAAAGGAGTCTATGATGCTGGACATGCTTTTTAAAAATATACATTTGATTTCAATTAAGGCTCCGTGTTTACGACCCTTGGAAGTATATGCTTTTATAGTTTCATCAGCCGAGACTGATTAATCCTGTTAGTGATGGCTGATGCTACGACAGGCTGGGCAGTGCCGGGAAATGGGAGATGAATTATATGCTGGT